CGGCACAGCAAAGGTTGGGGGCGTGGTCAACTGAAACTGGGCTGGCTCGTGGCACAGAAAGATGTTTACACACCAGTATGTATTACACAATTCCTTTTTGGGCTGGAAACAAGTTACTGTATTTACTGTATTTTGCAGCCTAGGATAAATGCTGGCACACAAACTTTTAGAATTATCATAATAATTATCATATAATAAATTTTTAAGGTCTAACACAGCACATTGTACAAATGTGTATCTACAAAAAAGTAGTTAGCACAAAATGTACTTTTCCCCAGCAGCTGACTTGTTTTCACAAACTTAAGGTTATAACAGTGCTTTTGATGGCAGGGTAGTTGTACATGTATAATTCAATTTTTCAGATATTTTTTAAATGAAAGTCTGGTGGAGTGCAGTACAGAGGTCAATTTCTTTTCATCTGGTCAGGATTGAGTTATATTTCCACTAAAAACAAATTGGTGTCTAATCACGATGAGCATGCATTACAGTCCTCTCTGTCAGCTTCACTTCTGTCGAAAAGCAGGTTATTACCTTCGCCAAGAAGGTTATGTTTTCAGAGACCTCATTTGCATAATTTATGAGGAAATGGTAGAATGGCATTGTTTGTTACGGGTCAGTTGGGGATTTGGGTTTTCAAGCTACATATCGCTGTTTTTACTCAAAATAAGGTTAATAAAAGTATTTTAAAAGGCTTAATCTGAATAGAGAGCACTATAGTAGCATTTGGTGCCAACCTACCTTTATGATGAATTTCAGGTCATTTGGTTTTTCGTATTAGCGCATTGGAACAAAAAATTTACATTTTGGGTCAAAAATAGCACAAAAAGACCCTTTTTACATAATTTCAGAGTGACACACGCAAAAAAGCATAAATAACTTTCTGTGGGATTGTATCCAAGGATCTCCCATACCAAATTTGAGGTCATTTGTTTTTAATATTAAGGCACAGGTGCCAAAAATGCAGACCTAGTGTTAATGGCTACATGTACTCCTCAGCCATCTTCCACCACCTACAACACAACAGGGGTCACTCTTTCAAACTCAAAGAGGCAATATATGAAAGAATGTACAACCCCACCCTTAACAGGGAAGGGGGGCTACGGGTGGATCAATCCGGCACTTGATATTTGGCGCTCCCAGCCCCGAGGACAGACAACACTTTCTGACTCATTTGCATTATCTTGTCTTGACTTGTCTGACTTTTGTTCCCTTTTCGACTTCAAAAAAAAAATTGTCTTCAATTTATTTGCATATCAATCAATAGTTTGTGCTTATAAACCTGCATTTCTCCTCTGGTCTCTCAGTCACTGATGAAAGCTAGTGGATTATAACTAGCTGAAACGTCTGACCGTTTCCAAAATCATATCCAGTTGCTTGAGTAACTGCTTTTTGGCATATAGAAAATGTACTATTATAGCAGTATATTACCAAATTTGGGCATGAGTCATTATAATGGCATGTAGAGCAGGCAATTAATAGGCATGCAGCTTTCCTCTATTCTCCTTGCTGATTGGCTGTTCGGATTTGATTGGGTTAACTCAATTAACACCTGTACAAAGCCATGGCCATATTGACAGTATGAACTTTATTCAAGTGTTTTGGTAGGTATGTCCTGCTTTCCTGCTCCAGCATTGGAATGCGGGGCATAAACGCTTCTTTTTATCTTGAAAATCAACAGTTTGGATTATGCGATTAAAAATCCCAACCAACAATGTAAGGGATAGCTATCTAACTGTTGTCACTTCATACTATAGTTATATCATATGTTTTCCCTTGTATTTCTCTCTGCCATTTCGTGAAATGTAGTGAAGTCATGCTGAATTTGCTCCAAAGCAAATGTTGACCTTTCTAGTTTCAATGTTGCATCTTCAACTTTTGTTTTGTAGGAGACCCATGCTATGGCATGTCCCATGTATGGGACAAAAGAAAAACGATGTTCATATCATTATCAGAATTACCATGGTATCCATTGTAATTTCAGTAATTTTCAGCCATAAATTGTTAGATTTTTGACGGTCTCAGAGGGGGGTCCCAGAACTCCATAACTAAAAATACATGTAGCTGGAGGGTTTCAACCATATGGCTGTTGATAGTTCCTCATACATGTACCAAACTCATATACAAAGTATGAGCCGATTTGGCTGACCCCCATCTTCCGACCTCTGCCTGCATGGTTTTGTCTGGTTTTCTCGTGTAATGACCCTTAACTTATTTCAGTGTCAAAAAGCATTACACCCATAACCTGCTGATGTTCTGTGTTGAAACTTAGCCTCCATACAAAGAGACACTGCTTTCCAAATATTCAACCTGTCACAAAGGATTTTTGGAACATTCCTCCAAAATGGCAAACTGTCTGAATTAATTTATTTTCATTCCGGCAGACTCTAAAAATATTTACATTTCCTTGACGCTGTTGTGATGAAGCAGTTCCACCAGCTGGGTACTGTAATTTTTGTGTGTATCCCTAGCAGTAGCATACATGACCTTCAACTTGGAATTACTCATCATTGTTTTCAACATGATGTTGACTAGCATCAGATTCTGTTTCATTTTGCTGTAGCTGTTGGAACGATTCCCAACAGCATACATAACCTGTACTACAGTTTGTATTTCAAATACAAAATATTTTAAATTATTTGAAGACCATAATTACACTTAGGCCACACCAATTTAATTTGTTGGTTCTCGGATTCGCCTCTTCATTTTTTTATGATTTGCAAAAAAAAAAAAAAATTCTGGTTCTGAATCATCTAAAAAATGCTCATATTTTGCTCCCAACAGTTGAGGAAAGTCCTTTTCTTCCTAGTTGTTACAGTTTTTCAATCTTTGAATGCAGTGGTTTGGTTAAAAAGTTCAAAATTCTTTGTTTAAATGTTATCCCAGCTTTTTGTGTTGACTTCATGGCTCCAATCGAAGCATTTGGGGCTATAATAGGATGCCTAGGCCGGTTTTTATTTTTATTTTTTTTCGCCCTGTCGCTTCATATTTTTTCTGAAAAAATCTGAGAACCAACAAATTAAATTGGTGTGGCCTTAATATGGAAAATGTGACAGAGCCACACTCCATGCCACAGTGTGAGGTGCTGAGTTTGCCAGACTGATATGTGAATTCCACCAGCTATTGAAGAAATAACAATATCACAGATTTTTCTTTTAGGTCAAGCAAACTTAACAAAAACACAATTACATGTACTACTACTTGTTTGTTTGATTTTAAGTATGATTGACAAGACAAAGTTAACATCAATAGCGGAGAGGATGTTGGATTCGGGAGCTATAATAGGTTTGGTAACCAGGCTTAAGTTTTAATAGCCAAAGGAGTAGAGGAGAAGTTTCATAATGTATAGAGTGGATAAAATAGAATAAAATCTATTAGGATGAAACTGAATATAATAAAATAGAATAGAATAGAATTAAAAACGAAAAATATAAAATAAAATAAAATCAAAATTTTTGTAGTGCTTACTTATACATTAGCATTTAGCAATGATCATTTAGCAAAAATTATTTGGTACTGACACTGCAGTATCCAGAATCAGGTACAGGTACAGGTTCGGACCTGGACCTGATCCTCTGGACCTGGACCTGAAAGAGCCGAACAAGTACCCAACCCTAGTGTAAGTTCAATATGCCCGCAGTCACTATTCAGGTGTTTAGGTTAACCATTAAGTTATTGTTTATTGTATTGAGTGTCAGGAAACTACAAACACTCAACCAGCATTAGGCCATACCGATTTAATTTTATGGATGACATCCGCGCGCGCATTGATTTTCGCCCGATCTCAAAAAAAAAAAAAAAGAATCACGTCTTCCGAGGCTCTGGACTGGCTTTAGGCCTGGGTAGTCCATGGTGGTGATAACTCTGGTGGACGGCAGCCAGGCTACCGAAGCCCCAAGACTCAAGAACTCAGTACATACGTACAGTGCCGATTCATAAATTCCGCAAAAACCTAGCATGTGTCGGCCTGTCGTATACGTCGCCAAATTCACAATACCAGCTGTGTATTCCTGTGGTTTAGTAGCATTTTTATTTTTGGCTGGATTTTTCTTTTTTTCGCCCGCACGCACTAGTTTGGGGGTCTTCAGAGGATGTCATCCATAAAATTAAATCGGTGTGGCCTTACTGCCATACAAAACTCACTCGGTTGGCCAACACTCCAGCAACGAAGACAACAACAACGTCTATGCCTCCTCTACAAAGCAGTTAATAATCTCATATCCATTCCTATACACACCATTCTTACAAGAAACACAAACCCAACCAGAGGACATCAGCTACGCTTCAACACACTACACTGTAGAACAGAAACATTTAGAGGTAGCTTCTTTCCTCAAACAGTTATTGTGTGGAATGCCCTACCTGACCAACTGGTAATGGCTGGGGTAGCCAGCCATTATGGCTTCCCTAGCTGTACCCAGCTGTAGGAATGTGGCCAATCCCCAGCCATGATTTCTGTAAATAGTTAGTGCACTTGTTTTGTTTTCGTTTGTTTTTCTTTCACCACCACCACCGGTCACACTGGGGAACGACCACTCCCCTAAGCATTAGACCCCGCGAGGGGTATTGCTTAGTACCGCATAGAACTAGAACTAGAACTAGAGTAACCAAAGCCACGGCAGCCTGTTTTTAAAACCTAGGTGGACCATATTAAAGTATGGTGTTGAAAAGACCTGTAACTGTATTTGTTGGATCACTATGGCTAAAATCTAAAAAAGAAATCTAAAAAAAGGGGGAATTCCTACCTACCGACCCTAAATTTTTTCTGGACCGTAATAGGAAACACAACATTCATTTTTCTAAAATTATACAATACATACTGGGTATAAAGAAATAAATGATATTTGATTATGTACAAGAGCCTGTCTGACCATATCTGACCACCCAAGCACAGTGTCAGATACGTGTACTCTAAATCTTTTATCATGATGTGACATAATAATGATTGTACCTCAGACTCATTTTCCAGAAAGTAGCAGTCAAGTTTGAAGGGTTCAACTCACCTTCCTAAGTTTGCCAGTAAATCCCTTCGGACACTCCTTGTCATAGAACTTCTTGAAGCGCCTCATTTCAGGTTTGGTGAGTCCGATGGCGGCCAGGTCGTCATCCTCCACGTACTTGAGCTGTGAGAGGTTACTGACCTTCAGGGTGTCGGTGAAGGCGCTGTAATACTGCAGTAACTCTGCCTCCTCCAGGAAGGAGTACAGGTCCTTTACACCTGACATCCTTCTGCCTAAGGTAAATATTTCTGAAAACAACATACAGCACACATGAACAATAAACAAACAACAGGTATGGATGGCTCAGCTAGGAATGCAATATTCCTGGTGTCTGTTCAAAACAAGAAATCAGACATTTCAGACTTCCAGAAGTAGGCAATCCTCAGCTTCCCGAGTGTATACGTAGGTCCCGCATGTTGACCACTGATTACAGTTGGGACGTTCCAACCAGATTTTGATACTACAACTTAGAAAATCAATGATCTAAGCAACAATTGTCATTGTAAGACAATTAGAAGCACACTGTATATAGTTGAGACCCTTCCAGCTGCACCAATTTAATCAGTTGGTTTTCAGATTCGCTAGAGCTAACTGTTCTTGTAGCAAGAAAAACCATATATCAGTATTTTCTAGGTGCACAATTGCACATTCAAAATATTTTTACATGCAAACCTTGAAAATCATGTGTATTTTGCACATTGTATTGTACATGGGTATTTCGAACCCTGTTTAAGTGATCATGACGATGACAAAATCACAAGTTCAAACAGATTATACAAACTAACTGGCTTGACACTACTCACAGTACAGTACAGTACTCCAAAAAATTTGTCTTCACTTTATTTGCATATCAATCAATAGTTTGTGCTTATAAACCTGCATTTCCCCTCTGGTCTCTCAGTTTCAGCTAGTTGATACTAGCTGAAATGTCTGACATTTTCAAAATCATATCCAGTTGCTTGAGTAACTGCTTTTTGGCGTAAGCTAGATTATCACTAGTGGTGCATACCGGTTCACTGGACTTGGATCCGGACTTGTAAAAATGTTTAGGTTCAAGTCCAAAAAAACCTAAAAGTCAAGAACCGAGTCCGGACTTATTACCATAAAAGACCATTTCACATAGTATTACCCCTTTTCTTTTTAAACCACCTAAAACCTTCCGTAGATTCCAAAATCTTTGCTGCAAAATGAAGAAAACATTGCCATCGGGCATCGTCAAGTACCAGCCTCCATGTTATGTGGCCAAAGTTTCACCCAGACAACATTGCAAGATTGCCAACATGCAATTTTGTATATGCCATGGGTTTAGGTCTGGACTTACCTATAAACCTCTGGACTTGAATCCGGACCTGAACCTGAAATTGGGTTTAGGTATGCATCACTAATTATCACCATAATACATGGCAAGGTGGACAAGTTTTGGGTAATTGCTTTTTTAACAATAACATAGTCTAATACTTGGACAGTCCTCTTGAATTATTACCTCCATGAAAAATGGAGGTATCGTTTTTGGCGCGTCTGTGTGTGTGTGTGTGTGTGTTTCTGCACATTTGTAGTCAGCATGACTTCAGAACGCCTTTATGGATTGTGAAGATATTTGGTATGCTGGTAGGTCTTAGGAAGCAAAAGGTCAAGGTCAAATATGGGCCTCCTGGTGGCTGACCTTCATACTGCAGCAGAACTTCCGTTTTTTGTATCTTTTGCAAGGAAAACAGATGTGCAGGCAGCGCGGTTTGATTAATGAGGTTCTTCCTCTGGACCCCTGAGTTGACCAGATCAGAGTGTACTGTGTAAAAACATTTACAAAAACTCATATATTTCATGGAGGTATGAGATCTCCAAATTCTTGTTAGATTCTTGTTTATCATTTCCTGCACTAGCCAGAAATCCACGCCACACTCGTCTATTTCCATTCTGCTAATCATTACACATTGTCAAATTCTCCTTGTTGTTTCTTTGGATTTGTAAGTAATTGTAATAGCAGTGGAGCAACTGGAGCAGCACCAAAACATGATTTTTTTCTCAGATTGTGGAATTCCGAGCAAGATGGAAAGTAGGACCTGGAGGCATCCAGGCAGATTGCCAAAGTCATGCAGAAGCTAACAGGGATACAACAGAAACTCAAAACAAGTCCCGAAAACGATCAGGGATCTTGCACTCCTACAGACAAAACAAGTAAAATCTAAGATTTTATACCTCCGGGCTTTTTATTGTATATTTCTATATGTTGTTTGTTATGTATAGTTGATGGTGTTGAATTTTATGTGTTTAGCGTTCCTGGTTGTGTTAACACAGGTCAACATTTTCATCTGCAGCCCATAACATGTACCCATGAACTTATGAAATTCTATTTAATCTGCCGCAATGAACTCGTAATGAAACTCAGAATGACAACCGGAACCGTTAAATCAGACGTTAAAAATAACGGCTGAAGTAGCAAGCCATCCTTATTGTCACTTCCTCCATTTTCCGCCAATTCTTCGTATAAATCGGGGATCAAGTAAAGGTCTGAATCCTCGGTAAAAATGCACGCCGAGAACATCTGAGACCGTATACCGCGGTATTTGTAAGTTAGTAGTCGTAATATACGCCGAAAACATCCAAAACAAAGATTGCGCAAGAGTACGTTGACCCCTGACCCATTGACCAACCCGGAAGTTGCTGCCGATCACGCGTCCTGTGAACGCGTACTAAAAATACCATCCAAACAACATTTGTTGCGCCTTGCATACAGAAGATGTATGTGCACAACAACAATTGTTGCGCGCCGCAAGACTAAGAATTTATTGAGACCCGTCACCCCTCTGTGCGACTGTGGACGAGACCGACTATATCTGACACACACAAAAGATCGACGGTCGCGACCCATTTTCTCACTCAAGGGGTGTTCTGGGGCCATCAAAAGGCTCCATTTTCACGCCCGAAAACACATATACAATAAAAACAAAAGAACGTGCATCATCTGCAGCCCGATAGTAAAACATATACCGAGTCTCAAAAGAATCCGTCCACTCAAACGCGAGGAATCGCTGCGAACGTGAAATTCTAAAACTCTCACAAAGCCCTTCCGCGGAAGGATGTCTCCTCCCCCGGAGGCAATAAGGACTCAGACAACCAGAGCAGTAGGGTTAACGTTCACCACAAGTGACGCAGCATGCCACAGCCCGCCGCAGTGTGCTGCAGTGTGTTGCAGTGCGCAGAGTGTATAATGTCCTAGGTGATTCACAAGCGCCGGGCATTGAACATCGCAGGACAGATTGTGCCCCGTGTAAATTGGGCCTTTATATCCTGTGGGGGCTCTGTCAGGCTCTTACATCTCCAAGCAGGTTGTTAGGAATGGGAAGAAAGCCCAATGAATTATTAAACTCTGTACATGGAATGCTCTAAAAACAGATTAAAAACTTAAAGTACATGTAGTCTACCATCTCTGCCAAGACATGTTTGCCCTGGTGTCAGTACTACCAGCTGTAGTGCTTCTTTGAAAACAGTTTACTTTAATCTGAGATTGCCAGAAGACAAAAGAAAACAACCTTAGTCTGTCCTGTCCTGAAGGCACAAGGACATGGTATTTTTGTTAACTAAGTGATGCCTAAAATCTTGAACTGTTGCAGCTAAACCATTTAACAATCTTCCCCTTTCGTAGGCGTCCATGGGTGTGTCTGTCTGTCTGTCTGTGTGTCCGTGTGTGTAAACACGATAACTATGGGGTGATGATCATCACAGAGAATTACGCGTAGTGACATGGCTCTGACGTCAGGCGCCATTCTGCCAAGTTCTGCCGAAGGAGTTGGCTTAAATAGATTGACTTGATATTTAGTAGGTGCATGGGTAGGTCTTCAGATCTGGAAATGATTTGATTTTGGGTTCCCTTAAGCCCATTCCTATGGTACTGCAGGAGAACTTCCGGTTTTGATATCTCATGACTTGGACATACTAGGGTCACGAAATTTGGATGATAGGTAGCTCTTGTGCTGGGAAGTTTAGGACCTCTAGCAGCTTGTTCTGGAACTGCAGGTACATTTGTTTAATAATATTCAAAAGAGGATAACTCAAGAACTGGTTGACGGATCATCATAAAAAAAAAAGATTCTGGTTCTCAATGCTCCCAACAATTGAGGAAAGTCTTTTTTTTCCTTACTAGTTGTTGCAGTTTTTCAATCTATCAATGCAGTGGTTTGATTAAAAGTTCAAAGTTTGCTGTTTAAATATTAACCCAGCCTTTTTTGTGGAAATCATGGCTCCAATTGTAGTATTTGGGGCTATAATAGGATGCATAGACCTGTTTTTATTTCATTTTTTTGTTTTTGCCCTTTTCGTCCTGTCGCTTCATATTTTTTCTGAAAAAATCAGAGAAATAACAAATTAAATTAGTGTGGCCTAACCAACAGATGGGCAGTCCAGCCTCGGGTAACCATTAAAACATGCATGTCTTGTGTCTATGACAAGGTCATGTATTATCATATCTGTGGGCATTTACTTCTTCAGAACAACACAGGCCTAACTCTGCTGTGATAACACCCCACTGTGACATAGTAAGCTGACAGGCTGTCAAAAACACACTCTTAATCTCTGTCTCTATTTCTGTCTGTTGTGCACACAGGCTACTCTAAATCAGATCTACATTTTTGTACACTGACTGCTGACTGAACACATTTCAGTTCAATTCTGGGGCCCTTTTCAGTTCACTTACATGTACAAAATGTACATGTACATGTAGGCCACACCAATTAAACTTGGTTCTCAACTTCTCAGATTGAAAAACAATTGAACAATATAATGCTACACAACTACATGTATAGATTGGAATATCAAAAAGAAATCAGAGTCTGAGGAGAAGGTCTGTACAGTTTCATGGAGCACTCTCAGGTCCCAAATAAAAGTACCCCCAAGTAAAAGTGCCCTCCGGAAAATCTAATAAATGTACCCCCTGGTGTACAGGTCATTATAATTACAAATTACTGTATCATACATGAGCAGAATCAATAGTATCTGATTCAGATTTTGACTGAAATTAGGATCATTGTGCCATTGTCAAGTTGATAATTGTGTTGAAACTACAATCACGATTCAAAGTTTTTTTCTAAATCAGTAGAGTCCATTCACTACTTCTGTAATTTCTCATGTAGCAAAAAGAATTAGTTCATTGCCTTAAAAATATCAGATGAAATAAAGTGGCCTTTAAAACACACTTGGATTGATGTGAATGATGATCTATTCATGATGTATGTTTTGGATGCTGATAACAATGTCCTGATTTTGAAAAAAATATCAAATGCACAGTCCAAAATCAGAAGTACCTGGTTGATTTTGAGGTGAGAAAAAAAAAACATACCAGACAGTACGTTTCTTCGGGGCCTGAGAGAGTAAACATCTCTAATCAGAATCGAGTTGAATTCCTCCTAGTCGTCTGTTCTGGTGATGTCTTCTTGCTAAAGTTGACATAAAAATGTTCTAGAACCGACAAATTAAATTGGTGTGGCCTTAATTTTGCACAGGAATGAAACACAATTGTCCATTCTATATTTTCATTACAAAATTTGCACAATGGTAAATTCTTTTAACACGTACAGCTACATGTACATAGTACGTTAAAAAAAGCAAAATTGCTTTTTCCCCATGAGACATCATTGTCTTTGCCATTAAGGCATGGCATGGATATCATTATGCAAGTGACATTTACTAGTAGGTGGCAGTTACTACTTGTACGATTAGTACTTGTATGATGATTTTTATAAATGATTTTGTCCCATTGGTTATAGGTGTGCAACCTGGACCCTGACTGTAATATCAGTACAGGAGAGGGTGGTGCTGTACACAGTGGTGATAAGGGTGAAAGCAGAGATAAATATAATGAAGGAAGCCACTTAACATACCCAAACAGAGAGGCCAACATTCCTTGATCTGGTACACAAGACAATGTTCCAGACAGCATTTCCTCAGCTACAATTGCAAGGACCATATCAAATCTTCAAGAAAGACCAGGCCATGGATTGTATCTTTTAGTTAGTTTATAATCAGCAAAAGACTAATTAGTAATAAAATTCAGCTACTTCTTACTTGCAACTTTTACCTAAAAACAAGGCACAGTATAATTTTACATCACAGATAGGATTTCTGCACTATACAAACAAATATTATACATTGTATTATCCTTAATTAGTGTGTAACTCCAGTTACATTATAATCTACCAAATCCAATTATTGGGAGACAGAGCTGTGATATATAAAATTATATGATTGATACATGTAGTTCTCGGAACAAGCCAAGCAGAGGTTTTGGCGTGTTTTAGGCTTTTTATTGGGCTTTCTTTTTTGGCAAATCAGACCTCTAGTCTCTACTTGGAGAGTACTTCTCAGGTCAGATAAGATTTGTGATGCAACTCCTATAAATTGAGGGAACACACATCCTGTGCATCTATGCCCTGAATGTTTGCAGCTGACCTAAAAATGCCAAATTCAAGATAACGCCCAATGCTGGTTAAGCCATGGCCTCATATACTGGCTACACAACAGCTCTATGGCCCTCTATCAGCACAGATAGCAGGTCACTACTACCAGCCATGGGCTTATCCTACAAACAAGGGTGGAATCCCGGCCAGATCTGTTGCTGGGATGTTAATATGCTTGGTGTTTCCTGGAGGGCTACTGGCCGGAAATCCTCCACAGTTCACAAGTACTGGGGACAAGTCCAGATTACTGCACTGGAACCCCTGAAGGCTGCAACACTGTTTTGTGATTTGACAGCACCCTTACAAAGCCAAGCCAAGGGATGTATATGCCTTGTACACAGTACTATTGTGGTCATGAACAAAGATTGTCACATACAGCGGAAACACAATGATTATCATAGATAAAAATACAAGTAAAGTGCTACTGTGCACATAGATTATTACATGGCTGCTTCTAGCTATAACCAATTACATTACAAACAATCAATATCTTACCGCCCAAACTTGCCAGCGATATTCGGCGGATGCTATTTGAACGCAGCATGGTGAATACAGTCAGTTTTATCAGTAAAAAATATTACTAGGAGTCTGGGACACATCCAGCTCAGCTAAGACAGTTACACACAACTGCAGTAGACAAAACTGTCAAGGAGGTGACTTCCATTCAATCCCTCAGGGTTCTCTACAGGAGACCTTTAATAGCTCCAATCTTGGAAGAGAGTATTTTATACAGAAAAAGCTAACCAATCAATGGACAGTATGTACTACTCCCAGCCAATCAGAGGTTATGAAACCTCAGCACAAAAATTGAGAAGGTACCATTCTACTGTCAGGGGTGTCAAGGTTTGCCATATTGGTTATATTACCTTTGCCAAGAAGGTTGTGTTTTCCATCGCGTTTGTTGGGTGCATGTATGTGTGCATGTATGTGGTTTAGCACGATAACTCAAGAAGTGTTGAGACTATCATCCTGAAACTTGCTAGTTGGGTAGGTACTGAAAACTAGAAATGATTAGATTTTGGGCTTGTTATGCATAACCATGGTACTGAAGCGGAACTGAACCGGTTTTGATATCTCATAATCTGGACATGCTAGAGTCATGAAATTTGGATGGTAACAACTGACATTAGTTTGGAACCCCTAGTGGCTTAATTGGAGCATTTCTTGAAAATCATTTGAGGGAGGATAACTCAAGAACCGGTTGACGGATTGTTGTGATTTTTGGTATGAAGGTAGCTAAAGTGATGCTTGACTTGATTAGATTTTATGATTAGAATTATGCGAATGACAGGAATTTCAAACCTGCCAGGTTTGGATTGAAAGTTAAGTAGGTGAGTATCAATAAACATAGTTAATTCAAATCAGGCCCTAATTTGCATAATTTATGAGTAAATGCTATTAATAACTTTCTGGTTCTGGATCGGAGTTTAGATCTGACCGGGGTTCCAAATAGTGCGCAGTATATCGCTGGTTCTGCATGGTTGTCACGCTAGGTTTGGATCCCCATTGATCTGTGATCGTTGAAGATTTTCAAATAGTTTTTGAATTGACCAAAAAACCTTGGGATTGTAGTGTTTTTCGGCGTGGTGAAGTTGGTCAGCCAGCTTGTGGAAATAGCGTAGAGAGCACAATGTTCAAAACTGCTCCTTTCTTTAAGCTTGTAATCCTTGCATTGAGTTACATGTAGGTTTGTCTGAGACAAACTGTAAAACACGCTCATACGTTGACTGCCGCTCTCATCAGAAACATTTTGTAAATAGTTTAGCTGATATTATTCTGACTCTTTAGACTTATATTTTAGAAAGTATTATGAATTATGTACTTGAATTTTAACACTTGGCCTTGTAATCAATGACGCATTTCAGGTAATATTGATTTTATCATTCGTGTACCTGCTGTCATTGGAAATAAAATCTAAATCTGAACCCTGCACAGAGGGGTGTATGGTTTTGATAAATTCTTTGTTTAAAAATATGCGCCAAAACGCTCTTTTCCATCGCTGCATAGCGCTAGCCAGATTCAGTGAAAATATGCACAATTCAAAGAACCTTTGGTGGGCAAAGGCAGATGGTTTGTAAAATGGTACTAGTAACTTAACCATTGCTTTGAACATTCATTTGCAGAAAGAGTTATGGACCAACCCAATTGTACTGATTACGTAAGGACACAAACCCGCACATACAACTTCAAGGTATGTGAGGTTTAGCTGAACTGGATTTTGTAACAACTTTTCAGTGATCCAATTAACATCCGCGGATCCAGAGGGGGGCGCACCCGGCGCCCCGGGTGCTCGTAGGTCATGTCGACAGGATGGTTCGCTAGCCTGCCGCCGATCTCAGTGGAACCCCGGCCGAAAATACATGTAAATACCCCCGTAAGAATAAACACAATTCTAAGAGGGTTGGTAAGGTTTAAAATGGCCTGCAAGCCGTGAACGTTCTTGATCGTAATGACGTAACACGAATATAACATGGCAGTTGTGCCTGGACCTTTCGAGTGACATCCACTTTTTTTTCTTCGTCACAAATGAACTTAGTCTAACAGAATTCGTTAACACATCATACAATGTACATACTGTAAAAACGCTGTTAAGACCATCTACGAACGGATCTACAACTCCACCCTGAACCAGAAAAGAAGACTGCGTGTAGAACTCTCCAGTGCGTGGAAACTCACCCTGCCACAACCTAAGGGACAGTTCCTACGGTTTTGTCTTACCATAGGAACTACCTTAACTCCTTTACATATAGAAAGACGTGTAGACTATATGTCTATGACTATGAGTCCTTGTCATGTTCAATTCTTTTTTCTAGTGGATGTCACTCGAAACATCTGCAAATTATCTCTGTAACTTATCCAGTAGTAGAGTTTGAATTTCCTATGAGTAAAAGACTGAAACTACATGCCAAAAATCATGAAAATTCGTCATTCCTTTCTTGATGTATCCAGTTTGACAGATTTTGCTGGAAACTCCCCTGTAGTTCCAGAACAAGGTGCTAGAAAGACCAATCCCACAACAGATGTTCCTGACATGAAAAGATGTCAGCCACCAAAAAATCAAGACCATGTCCAGAACAAAAGTTAAAAAATCCAGAAGTTCTGCTGCATTATCAAGGTCAGCCACCATGCAGGAGGCTCAAATTTTACCTTGACCCTTGTTTTCCCAAAACTTACCTACATACCAAATATCATTATAATAGATAAATCATATTATTTGTGTATTAATTATGCTGACCACAAACACACACACAACATAACATAACATTGCTTGGCTGTATTCCACAAATTTGCACCTACCTCAAAATGCAGGAAAAAGTGTTTCAGAGAAATACAAAATTTTTACTCGCAAATTTACTTACAATACTCGCACCTACAGCGCTTGCATATGCTATCATGTCCTAATTCCAGCCCTGGCCTTACCATCAGACCAATTTCTTTTTTACCTCCATGAAAAATGGAGGTATTGTTTTTGGCATGTCTGTGTGTCTATGTGTGTTTCCGCAACTTTGTGGTCAGCATAACTTCAGAATGCCTTTATGGATTGAGATGATATTTGGTATGTGGGTAAGTCTTGGAAAGACAAAGGTCAAGGTCAAATATAGGCCTCCTGGTGGATGATCTTGGTACTGCAGCAGAATTTCCGGTTTTTGTATCTTTTGTCCTGAACATGCTATGGTCTTGACTTTTTGGTGACAGATAGCTTTTCCTTTAAGAAATAAGTGATGTTGGTTTGGTCCCCCTAGCAGCTTGTTCTGGAACTGCAGGGGACTTTCTGGTGAATTATTTTAAAGCCTATAAGTCCAGATAGGAACAACTTATTTTCATCATTTTTGGTATGCTGAAAGAGAAATGTGCGTAATTAGATGCAAATTATGCAAATGAAGACTTAATTTGCATAATTAAGGAGAGAATTCTATAATCACAGTGTTTATATATAGTACTTTATACATGTAACCTATGGCAGGTGAAACATCAACAGATACCAATTATGCAAATTGTGACCTAATTTGCAGATATAATGTTCAAATGTAGGTGTCATTTGCATAATTAATAAGAATAAAAACTCATATATTTCATGGAGGTATGAGATCTCCGAATTCTTGTTTTTTGTCCCTGTTGCTTCATGATTTTCATTAAAAAAATCCGAGAACCAAGAAATTAAATTGGTGTGGCCTTGGAAACAAAAAAATGACAGGTTACAAACCAGTGTTCTAGCCAGCCTGAAAATTTTTTCCATCAACTCACATATCGGCTCGTTCTCATAAAAATGTACAAAAAGGTGATTTTTTGGGTTGAAAAATCGATGATCTGTTTTTTCAGGCAAACCTACCTTATTTTTTAGGAAAACATCTCAATTAATGATTACCAAAAAAGGACAGCTTAATTGCCATGGGAAGTTACCGAAAATCTTTGCACTTAGATAAGACATATGTAAACAATGCAATTTTTAGTGCAGCAAAAACGCTGGAACAGCAGCATGAATTGGGTGTACGATAAAGCTTGTATTCGTGACATCACTTCAAAAGCCATTAGTTTAGGCGTCAGTATCGATGAAAGTACTTCTGTCAACCCATTATTTACTGGTAAATATACATGTATCGAACACATAAAGATAGCTAAGTGTAGTGTATAGAAGTAGAAAAAAATATCTTTGGAAGCAAAGAAGAGTAGAACATTTGAGTTTGTTGACGCCACAGAGGGTTATTTTTCTTTGGATCCTTATTTTTTTCGATTGACGCGTGAGCGCGTCAATCGAAATTAAGCTGGGTTTCCTACATGCTCCCTGGACCGGTGTTCGTTCGTCCTACATCCGGGCTATTTCTGTTGACCGAGTCCTGTTATTGTGTCTGCACTTCCTCGTCTCTTATGCATGAAGCCCTAAAAACTGGGCTACTATGTGATAAAATGTCAACATAGCTCTATGTTTGACACAGATATACATGCTTTTTAACAATTATATTATATTTTTAACATAATATTTTGTGCATCGCATGCCGCGATGTCAACACGTTTTATAGATACTCCTTTTAAACACTAGCTTTCATGGTCGATCTAAATAGCTCGTCGTGGAGCGAGGCTGAACGATTGGCAATTGCGGTGTCTACACGAAGTGAGTTCGATCCCCGCTGCGGAACTTTTTTTTTATTTTCTTTTTAACATCCGCTGTTTTGCTTTTAATACACAAAAACTAATTAGTCTCGACATATGATTTTTTTAAATTTTCTTTTTAACATCCGCTGTTTTGCTTTTTAACATTTATGTTTTTTGCATGGGAATAATATTTTGTTGCCTTAACAATGCCTTTGATTCGGCATGCCGCGATGTCAACTCGTTTTATAGATACTCCTTTTAAAGACTAGTTTTCACGGTCAATCTAAATAGCTCGACGGGAGCAAGGCTGAATGATGAGAATGGCGGTGTGTACACGAAGTGAGTTCGATCCCCGCTGCGGAACTTTTTTTAAATTTTCTTATTAACATCCGCTGTTTTGCTTTTAACACACAAAAACTAATTATTCAAGTCTCGACATATGATTTTTTTAAAGTTTCTTTTTAACATCCGCTGTTTTGCCATTTATGTATGGGAATAATATTTTG